ACACACCACACCTCTGTATTACGGCTTACATTTGTTTCTCCCATACCTCAAAAAAATACAAGTTCTGTGACTAATAACCAAAAAAAATTATGCCAAAAGTAAGTTATTGAAACTACTATGGCTGCAAGAGCACCGAATGATAGCAATAAGATTAGATTTCAAGAGCAAATTAACATTAATTACACTTTCTGAGAGACTCTACAGGATTAGTGATAGGATAAAGACATAGATTGGTTCCCTCCAAGGACTAGCCAGGCATCACAAAGTCATTATTCAGTTGAAGAACATATATTTTTTAATTAGAGTATCAAAAGTCTGGGAGACAAATTGTGTTTAATGAATACAACATCTGTCCACAGGGAGTTGCCAACTTCTTGGTTGAACTTGGACTGCTCTTAACAAGCTTTGCTCTCCAGAACCTTTCTCTTGGGTAATAAGAGTTACCAGGCAGAAAAATTTTTGAATTCTGTGGAGACACCGACTTTCCTCTTCTTTGAGGAAGGAATTGGTGGGAGGGAATTAAGATCAGCTTGAGCATTCCTTGCTTTCAAGTATTTCCCAACACCACCGCTAACCGCTTGAGTGTCTGACCCGGTTCCAGGATAACTGTACCATGAACCAACCTTATCCTAAATTGGCCACAGCAGAAAAATACATTTTTGTCACATTAGAGGAACAACAATCCATTTTTAGGTGAGGAAATTAAAAAACTTAGCAAATATGGTTGAAAAACCGTTCGGATCTCAAAGGGTAAAATAAATGATAAGTTAAGAACTAACATTATCCTCATCCTCAATTTTCTTCTCATCGCCTGGTTTCTCACTGTCTTCTTCATCATCAGATTCTGCATATGGATTCACATAAACTTCTACATCAATGATCTTTATTTCTTCCTGCACAAGAGCACAATGAAGAATAACAAAGATGAGAGGCCTACACAAGTGTGACAAACTTACATAGAAGACACAATAACACAAAAATAATACTGCCTGTAAATGTCACAGGCAATAGGGTATTGAATGATTCATAAACCCAAAAAAATATCATAGCAGGTATACATATCCCGGAGAATTCAGGTAATGATGGGGCATAGACTGTCCTTGAAATAAAATCCAAAGGGCAAGAAGGTGAAAATAATTAAAAGACATGCAAGCTAAATGCATAAGGCCATGTATGCACTCAACTTGCCAGGGTGAAACTAGAAATTTCCAATCAAATTAATAAACACTGTTTGTGAAGCATGCCATTAAAATATTAGATTCAAAACAGAAAAAAGAAAGAAATGCAGAGCAGAAATAACACAAACTCCTACTAACCAGAGGTCGGTCATTATCATCAACTGGGACCTTCTCCATTGCTGAAAGGGTTGTCAATCCTCCAACGACCATACCAAAAACTGAGTGTTTGTAATTTAAATGATTTGCAGACTTGTAGAGGATAAAAAATTGAGAACCATTTGAATGTGGTCCTGAGTTTGCCATGCTAACAACACCCCTTCCAGAATGTAATAACTTGGAATTCACTTCATCTTTGAATGGTTTTCCCCATATAGACTCACCACCTCGTCCCGTTCCAGTAGGATCGCCCCCTTGAATCATGAAATTCCTGCAAGACATTGACAGCTTAGGTTTTTCAATATTAAAGGAGGAAAAAACTGATAAACAAGATGATTTAATGGGTATTTAAGAATAGACAAGTTAATGCACCTAATGCTTCTGTGAAAAGCCACTCCATTATAATAGCCACGCTCACACAATGTGATGAAGTTCTCACACGTTCTTGGTGTTAAATCGCAGTGCAGCTCAATGTTCAAATCCCCATGTGTTGTCTGAAGCCGAACATAACCTTTCTTCTTAGGGGTTTTCTCAACTTTGACATATTCGTATTCATTTCTTGTCACAGGGTCATAACTGGTAGAAGTGAAGGATCGTGAAGCAGCACCGGTAGTGAAACGACTCTTGACCTTGAAGGATTTAAAATAATGGAAAGTCGTGATCAAACAGTAAAATATCTCAATAGTAGAATGCTGTTACTTTGTATGCTTTCAAGATGGGTTATTTAAAAAAAAACTCACCAGTTTAGCATTTACAGGTTCCCTTTCTCCGGCCATGTGCAATGCAATCCGTGCAGCAGCTTTATCACTCGAAGCAGACTTAGCAGCAGCAGCACTTCTTCCATGAACTGAGGCAGATGCAGCATCTACAATACTGAAGGCCTGTTTGGGTTTACCTTCAACATTTTCACTTGACTTAGGGTCTTCTTTGACACGTATTCTGGCATCTAAAATGGCAGAGAGTGCAGCTGCCCTTTCATTCTGTGCCTTGGTCCCGCCTCCACCTTGCATTGCAATCTCCTTTGCTTTCTCGGTACCAAGCTCTTTTAGCATTTGTTTGATATCCCCGGTTGCATTTATATTGTAAGATGGTTCAGATTGCATTTTCTTCAATTCTGATGACACGCAGTAAGAGATTTAAGTACAGAAAATATAGAAATTTATGCTGGGTTTTAAAGAGAAAGAAGGATTCACACACCTTCATCATCGACCTTCAAACTTTTTTTGACATGATCAAAATCCACAAGTACCTTGGCATCCAGCGTGTTAGGATTCTACAAACATATCACCATACATTTACTTTGGGTGAGGATCAATTGATTTTTTTAAGGCAAGGGCAGACAAGGGTACAATAAAGTGCTGGAGCTACCTGAATAGTAATCAGGTCTTGTTTAGTAAATGACTCATCAGTGAGAAGTTCCTTCCAGTTCTTTGGTTTAATGTTTAACTCTTTAATTGCCTACATAACAAGATTATGGATAACTATTACATTTAGCAAAGCGATGCAGACATGTATTATTAGGAGCACTTAATGGAGGAATACATTATACATAAATACCTCGTAGCAGAAGACATTGCCTGTATTCTTTACAGCAACAATGTGTGTGAACTCTGTAAAAACCTTGTTCATGACAGGGCAATGGAACTCACCTGCAAAAAATAAATCCGGCATTTGGCCATTTTCAAGAACACCATTGCACAATATAAACACATCGCATGCATACTCGTCCTTGTTCACTAACTCTTTATGACCCAACTATTCTAGCATCAAGGTAATATTGAAGCACAACTACTTGCTATGCAGACTTCATAACTTAATATATACACTACAAATCTCCATCGGAATGAAAATGTTTGATACAAACAATTCATTACCTTCTGTGTTCTTGTGGAAAGTAAGTGGAATGAGTTGATCTTGCTTTAGCGGAGCTCCCGTAACTGGATGCTTTCCAAATTTTCTAATGTATGGTATAATATTCCTAAAAAATTTCAAGAGCAGACTAATAATTAGCGCCCATCAAAATTCAAAAATAAAAAAGAAGAAATCAATTGGATGAATACTCACATGAGATCAAACACACTACCATCTTCAGTGCAAACAGGGTCTTCAAAAGGAGTGAATGTAAGCCTGCGTTCATGGTGAAGGCTTAAACTATGTGCTTGAGTAAATACAGTTATGAGGAAGATGAGAAAATGGGAGCTTACGCGCAGCAATAGAAGGGAAGACGCTTGAAAGGAGTTCGGATTTCTTTGGACTTAGCGCCGCCCCACTCCGTCGCCCATTCAGTCTTCGTTATGAACATCCGATCCTTACTATGCTGTTTCTTCCCCATGGTAGTGAGACTTCTTCCTGGTCGACGAACAATTAGGGTTTCAGGAGAAGCTCTCCGTCGAAGTCGCGTTACCGACGTTCTTGCCGATGGCACTGCTAAATGAGGAGATGCTTTGAGGTTCGCCGGCCGTTAAGATGGCGGTAGCCGTCTCATCCGTCGCGGTGTACGAGCTTTGATCTGGATGGAGTGCCGAGCCCGTTTGACTGTTGTACAGGTTAGCCCGTTTTTTAACGGTTTATGGGCCTGGCCCATTAGCTATGGCTATTTCAATTGAAAGCCCGAAACGACCGTGAAAGACTTATCAGCCGCGATGGGTGGCGATCGAGCCAGCAGTAGTAGCAGCGGAGAAGAAGACGGCGATGCCGAATGGAGAGCCGCCATAGATTCTATCGCCGCCGCCGCCGCCGCCGCCAACGGACTTCATTCATCTGCCTCAATCACTCATCCCACCCGCGAAGATGAATCAGATGCCCTGAAACCTCCAAAGCTTACCCACTACCAAATCAAGGTTCTCTGTCGTCTCAATTTATCATCCTCCATTATTACTCGGCGCAAGCTTATCAGTTATTTTGCCTTTTAATTCTTCAAATATATGCGCCGAGTGACTATTTAATCTACTAAAGCAGGCTCAGAAGCTTCTAGATGACATTATAGAGAAGGCCATAGAAGTAGTGAGCGACACAAGGGATGATACTCTTGAAGATCCCATCAATGGCTGCAGTGGCGGAGGAATCAGGCTGTTCAAACGTGCTCCGCCAGGAATAGCAGACGACCCCACAGGTAATGATGGAGAAAAGATTCGGGCCATGTCCAGTTATATTTTCATGGTGATGATAATGATGATGTGAATGTGGTGTTTATTTGGTTCCCAGACGAGCTTAATCGAAACAGAAAGAAGCCTAGAATCCTTCCCGGGAAGGAAATCAAAGAGGGGTCCAAGGAGTTCAAAAAGCGGATCAAATCAGTTTCGGTTGCAGGAAGTGACATAATGGCTGCAGCCAGAGATGCATCTCAGAGAGCAATGGCGAGATCAGAAGCAAGAGATGCAGCGACCAGAGCGTATCTTCTAAGAGAGGAAGAACGTGTTGCAGAGCTAAAGAGAAGAAGGGGGGAGAGATGGCTGCCTTCTGTTGCTCCATATATGCAGAGCTAAAACTCAAAGGGCATTGATGAACTAGCCTCTTTGTGGAATTTTTTGCAGCATTTTAAGTCTATCTTTGATATTTCAGAATGAGATCAATTCATATGTTCCATTCATCAATTCATATGTTCTACAGGCATTAACATAACTGGATATGATGCAATGTAATGAATTCAAGGGAAAATGACCTTGTTGCTGTTATGAAGCTGCAAAACAATTCATATATAATAGCCAAAACAAGAAGCTAGACACAATTCTTCTCCCTCGTTTTAAGATGACATTCCCTCTTCTTCTCTCTCTCATTTCATGTTCATGTGCCATCTGTTTCTTCCTTGTTGTCCCTCTCTAATTACGGATGGACAGAATAGGCCAAATCTGCAGTCATCGACTAAATCCCTATTTTTCCTGTATTTCGGAGACAAATGGGCTAGGATGTGAGGAGGTGGCTATGGTTCAAGGTACCCCTTTTTTTCCAGGTAAGAGACCACAATCTCAGCCATTGCACTGGGTGAATCATTACATCCTTGATCGACGTGAAGCACTATCTGCAAATAAAAGAAGATTTCCTCTTAACTTCAATCCGTACATTCGTACAACAAGGGGAAAGCACTTGTGTATTTTTTTAATACTGTACCTCTGGAGTCATAGGTGGCTCATATGGATCATCAATCCCAGTAAAACCTATACACATCAGGCACGATGGTTACCTTCGTTCATGCATTTAGCTTTAAATGATCACTCGTACCTTTAACTGATAAGTACACCAATAATAGCCAATTCTGCAGTTTGGTTGGATTCTTCAAGACAAGAGCCATTTTTGTGTCATGGGTGGAGTGAAAAAACCTGTTTTTTTGGTGTACGATAGAGATGTGACACAGAAAGAGAAGCACCTTTTATTTTACCTGCGCGGGCAAGTTTGTACAGTCCCTTGGGGTCTCTTGCCTCGCAAACATGTAAAGGAACCTCCATAAACACCTAGAAATGGCCAGACTCATAGTGAGCAAAGTCTAGCTTTAAATATCCTACATAGTACAAATTCATGTCTTCAGTGAAAAACATCATTGGCAGAAGTTAAACCTCAATGAAATCTCCTTCTAAAAGTAAAGAACGACAAAAATCCCGCTCCTTTCTGTATGGAGATACCAAACTGACAATGCAAATGACTCCAGCATCTGAAAAAAGCTTTGCCACCTCGCCTACGTATGGAGTAAAATAGAGTGAAATGTTGTCTTCTAAGAGCACGCAATAAGGCATTAAATTCCAAGAAGAAAAGGAAGCACTAAAGGAAGAACATGTTAGAAACCTACCGACCCGTCTAATGTTTTCTGTTCGATCCTTTGCTCCGAAACTAAGATCCCTATTCAGACCATGCCGGACATTATCTCCATCTAAAATGTAAGTAAGTTTTCCCCGTGCATGTAAGCCTCGACTTAATGCACATGCCACAGTGCTCTTTCCTGAAATCACATTCAGCACAAGACCATAATCAGTTTTAGACCCCAAATATTAACAACACCATGGACCATGGTAGACAAGGTGTGGTTTGATGAAATATAAATAACCTTAAACATCGCAATACACAACTCCTAGATAATAAAGACTGGACTATTAGTATTAGCAGGTAAAAAGACAAAAACTCACAGCATAATTGCTTTAGGTAAGGTTAGACACACACAAGGTGGAAGGAATTAGTAGTGTGTTTGCACTTGAATGGTAACCTTAAAAGATCTGTGGCTAATTTCACTTGAATTGGCTTTTATATGGCTTTTAACAATCATCCTGTTGGATTTAGTGAGGCTATAATCCAACATAAAACCTCTCACACATGCTGGATGGAAGGTCTTAAGTGAAAAGTGATAAAAGACTCCAAGAAACATGATAGTAATGCAGGAAATGAGCGAACTTTTTGAGGCACTGGATGCTCTTCCAGATGCCCTTTTGTATTGATGCCTTTTCATCCTGAATACATACACATCACGCGAGATATTAGAGCAAATATGGAAATTTAATTGCTGGAGGACATTCAAGTCTGTGGAACTCCGAACACTAGGATTCACCAGTTTGGAGGATGCCGGAACCGGTTTTGTCCAGAGCAATTCACCATCAAATCCACCTCCAATCCGGAATTTTTTTTTGTTTAAGCCCAAATTGCTTCTGGGCCATTCGGGTCAAACCTCGTACCCTTTTTTAATTTTGGGAGGCCCGTATGCCCACAGATATCCAAAATATTGCAAATAATTATTTCACCTAGCCAGACGCTCTTTCCCCAGGAAAATAAAATTACCAAGTTTTCCTGGTTCATATGACAAATGACCTCACCTAGAGGGCTAATAGCCTAATATGACAGCCAAAGCTGAAGCCTTGCTTTAATTGGAACCTCACCTTGTCGTCTTTTTAGATATATTAGCCTTGAGGTCAGGGCTTCTTTTGGTGGGGAGAGGAATGTTACACATGCATAACGTGAAAGGAGTTACCATGTTTGCAGATATGCAAATAAAGGTTAATTAGTTACCTAGCTCATTTCAGTAGAAAAATTCTAGTAATAATTAAGTCCATGCCTGAGCTCAGCTGTATTCAGTCTCTACTTGGTAATTGTCTATCATAATATTTATCTGGCGCGAAAATAGATTTCAAAGCTTTTTTCCTCTAAGCTCTAAATACTCTCTTCCTAAAGTGAACAAACCCAATAGAATCCCACAAAAGTAGGGTCTGCGGAGGGTGTGTGTATGCAGACCTTACCCCTACTATGAAGTAGAGAGGCTGTTCCCACGAAGGTGGAAAAACATTCTAGCTACAAATTCCCGGCATTAGAATGTGTAACCTTCTGGGGTCTACCCAGGATAAAGAATGAACCTTTAGGTTGTATGAGAAACACATGAAAAGTATAGTAGCAAAATTGTTTTTAGAATAAGTTAAGACATGTAGATATAACAGAAATGATTATTAACTAACAAACCTGAACCACTGAGACCAGTGATCCAAACAACACATCCCTTCTGCTGAAGCAACTTCTCCCTGTCACTCTTCTCTACTGAGCATTTGTGCCAGAAAATATTTGAAGAATTTCCAAGGGTACGTGTCTTTAGTTTATCCTTGCCTAAACAGAGAAGTACAAGCATTGCTATAAAGAAATAAAAATAAAAAGAAAAAAACAGAAAAACCAAAGTACAAGCATCGGCAGTTAAATGGGTAAAACTGAGCTAGTTTACATAAAACAAATAATGGTCATTTTGAGAAAAAAAAATTCTCTCAAAATTATTGTCCCTTTCCAAAAGAGTATACAAACTTCAGCTTTGGAGTAGAGGGGTAAAACCTTAGATCAACATTTTTAAGGAATTGAGAGAGTTTAATCTCTAATGTTATTAACTCATGCACCATCTCATTCCCAGTTGTCATCAGCATGCTTATAAAAGAAATCACCCTAAATAGAAGTAAAAACATAGAGAAAGTACCACAATAGAAGTTTCATGTTATTATCCTCTAAATAGGAATTCGCACTGCAGTAATGTGACACTGTATATGGACATGTCACAATACTTTTTGGTAATGTGTATGGTCATGATTGACACTCTAAATGCATTTTAACTCCTATTTTGGGGGGAAAACATGGAACTCCTATTTTGGAATATTTTCAATGTTTTACTCATATTTTAGTCTTTTTTCCAGTTTTTAAAGCATTTAAGACGAGCAAAATCTACTTCTTGATATGCTTGCAAGCTTCAGTTAAATAATCGACCAAATCAAAATGACTCATAATTTGGGAGCAGAATACATATTACATAGAGTAAAAATCAAAGTTATCCCATTAAGAATAATTTGCTTCAAACAAAAGCTGGAAAAAATTATGCTTGTGGAGGATGACATCATGGAGCCATGAGGATACAACTAAACAAGACAACATTGACTTTACTCCACATTTCAAATGTTCTTCCTTAGAAAAAAGAAAAAGTGTGAAAAAAGAACAGATTTTTCTTGTGTTTTCCGTTGACTTTTCACAGTACATACGACTGTGCCAGCAATTGGCAGAGGAAAAAACTGAATTAGGAATAAATCATTACCGGAGATATCATTGCAGTCATCTGAAGAAGCTTCAAGTGCCCTAATTGGGCTCATGAAATTAGATTTAAACTCGCCGCCGAAAATGCAGGGGCTGAAGCCTCTGTTTGCGCCGGAAAAGCGTGCCGGTACCCTCCCGGCGACACGCTTTCCTGAATTTGACAACAGAGAGTAGAAATCCGGCGAAAGCGGTGCTTGAGGAAACGGTTTGCTTCTGATGGAAACCAACATATTTCTGAATATCACATAGCACTGAAATTTCGCCCAAAAAAAAATCTGTACCAAATCCAAGATGTTATCGTCTCTGTCGAACACACAACATGAACAGTATAAAATTTGCAGAGTAACTTCTTAAAAAAAGTTACGGGGTGTATTTTTTTTAAGAACATGCTACACTTCTATTTGATTGATTAGTAGACCACAATTATACATAAACATTTTGATGGTTTACACTGACATAAGTGTTTGTGCGTTAACAAAATTTTACACGGACACAAAATGATGGTGCAATAACAAAAATTAGTTTTACACCAAAACAAAATGTTGATGCAAACTTACAGTGTACAAATGCAGTATAAAAGTTTGGAGTACAAACTTTATCATTTTCTTTACACAAAAATTTTACATTTAATTTTACAAAACACTAGTGTTAACCCCGTGCTTCGCACGGGCTCGTATATATTCTAAATTTCTGAGATTGTATAAATATAATTTTAGCTATTTTAGTTTTTAATAGTGACAAAACATATTTTAAACTGGTGGAATATATATTGGTATGTTAATTTAGAAACAAACAAATTATACAAAATTAATGGTCATTGAATTTAGTACTAATAAAAATTTAAAATTAATTATTTTATAAAATTATTTTTCACCTAATTAATGTATTGCTATGTAGTAATCTCTTACATATACACAGTATTACAGTGAACAGTCAACAATGGCTTCAACGAAAGCAATTTTATTTTATTTACTTTGTTAAAAAATATTTGTAGCAATAAAATAAACAATGTAATAAGATAAAATTTTTGAAACAAATTTTTTAATTAATAAATATGCATATGTGATTAAATTTATATAATCATTTTTTGAAAAGTAATAAACTAAAATAAGTTGTGGATAGTATAAAAATAATCCTATTTATAATTAATCCTAAAAATAATCCTAAGAATAATTAATTTATATATATAATATGGAGTATATTTTACAATGATGAAATATATATTTATAGAATTACTAAAAAATGAAAAAGTTTTATGCAAATGTATTCAAAGATCTTTTAAAAAAATCAAAATGGACCAATGAATTGAAATGCATATATCTACATCATTAGTGAGTGCACATGTGGCATGCCACATGTCAACACTACAATAATTTAACTCTCTTTTACATATATATATATATATATATATATATATAGGATACGAAGTACTCCCGAGTCCCGAGTATAATTTAATTTCAGGTATAATTAACAAATTAATTTAGAACTATATTATAATTACAAATTTTTTTACTTACTCTAAGCATGTGTTTGGATGGGTGAAAAAAGAGGGGAAAAATGTGATTGAGAGAAAATACAAATTTTGAAGCATTTTTTCTTGATTGGATAAAGAAGAAAAGGAAGAGGGAAGTAAAAAAATGTGAGGGAGAAGAACTAACCAATAATGAAGCTTCATCCATTTTTTCTCTCTTTTTTTTCTTTTTCCACCTTTATTTGTCTTCAAATTTTGCACATCCAATCATCATTAATTTTTCTCCATTTTTTCTCTATTTACTATTCTTTTCATTTTCTTTTTCCTCATTTTCATTTCTTTCTATTTTAATCCCTCATTAAAACAACATGTACATGTATTTGTTTATTGATAATTTGTACGGAGAGGTTCTAATGACACCAGAGTACGGTAACACTCTAGTGTCACTGTCATTTTGGGATACTTCTAGTGCTTCGTTTATAAAATTGATGAGTCATATCCTCCATAACTATATCTTAAACTCCATATATCAGTCCCTACCAAAGCCCCCTCCCAATGTGTGACTTTTATGCAATAAATGCATAATAGACACACATTTGGAGGAAAGCTTAGGGGGGTTGGGGTAGGGAGTTAGAGTGATGGTTATGGGGATAAGAACCATCAATTTTATAAACGAAACATTAAAAGTGTCCCAAAATGAAAGAATGTCATCTGTTTACACTGGATTCTAGTGTCAACCCTAATTTGTATTCCCCTAATTTGTATTCTCCTAAAAAGTGAGGGAGAAAGAAGAAACTAATAAGAGAGCTTCATCCATTTTCTTCTTCTCTTTTTTTTCTTTTTTCATATTTTTTTCTCCAAAAAATTGCTGTTGGGTATCCTCAGTTTTGTGATAAAAACTGTTGGGTACCCCTCTTTTTAAAAATATACTCCGAAGTACCTTTACTTATTAGAAAACTTTCCCGAAGGAGATCTTTTTATCCATCCTTCCATTAATCTGTTTGCTCCGTTAGTTTCTTCATCATCATCATCCTCCTCCCTCTTCCTTTTTCTTCTTCTTTAATTATCCTCACCCCCCTCCCATCCAGACCTCCCACCATTCCCCTTTTTTGTTGTTGTTGTTGTTGTTGTTATTATTATTATTATTAAAGTTAATTAGTAGTTTTACTACTCTAATTAAAAAAAACACTAAAGCCCCACCAAAAATTTGTATACCCCTAATAACCTTACCCAATCACTACTTGGGTAAAAAAATTAAAATATTTAAAATTTTTAAGTGAAAAATAGTTTTGGTAATAAATTTTTGCATAATTTATATATTAAAAATTGTTACTCCGTTATTTACTTAGATATAAAATATATGAAGTACGTTATAATTTACAATAATAATAAGATGAAATTTAACATTATTTTTTTCGTTAAAATAGATAGTGTTAAACTTTCATCTTATTATTGTAAATATTTCGTACTATCTTCGTCTCAAAATGATTTGTAATTTTACTATTTGAGTCTCTCGATAAATTTTGTTTACTAATGTATTTTCATTAGTCATTTGAGAGCATAAAATGTCCTTGTCGCATGTTTTTTATAGAAATTTTAATAGTTTTTAAAACATGTAATTTTTATGTTTATCTTTATATCAATTTATAGAAAATATCATATTTAAAAAATATGAAATTTTACACATTGATCGAATAGCGTAAATGACTTTAGGACGGAGTATAATTTATAACCAAATAAATATCATAGTAAAGCATTTTAAATTTATAAATTATACATTATTATATCACCAAAACTAACTCTCAATTAAAGATTTAAAATATTTTAGTCTCTTTTTATTCAAGTGGAGATATGAAAAGGTTAATGGGAGTACAAATTTGTTGGCGGGCAAATAAGTATTTGAAGTCAAAGCTTATCAATTTTAACTAAAAAAAGTTAAAAGTGGACAAATACTCAGGAACCGAGGGAGTATAATCATAAGAAAAACTATAATAATAATAATAATAATAATAATAATAATAATAATAATAATAATAATAATAATAATAATAGTAATAATAACAACAACAATAATAGTAGTAGTAGTAGTAATAATAATAATAATAATAATAATAATAATAATAAAAATAATAATAATAATAATAATAATAATAATAATAATAATAATAATAATAATAGAAGAGGAAGAGAACAAAATGGAAGGGGTGGGAGTATAGAATCGAATGAGGAGGTGAAGGAGAATTGAAGAAGAATAAAAAGAAGAAAGATGCAGAATGAAGAGGAAATCATGAACAAATTGAAGGATGATGATGAAATCATGATGATGATGTGGATGATAAAGGGGAAGAAGAAAAGCTAACGGAGTGAATGACTGAAGGATAAAAATCCCGTATTGGTAAGTTTTTAAATAACTAGAGGTACCCGAGAGTATATTTTTAAAATTAGAGGTATCCATTAATTTTTATCATAAAACTAGGGGTACCCAAGAGCAATTTTTTGTTTTTTTTCTTCAACTTCTTACACATCCAAACATCAATTAACTTTTCTCAATTTTCCCTTCTCTTCATTAGCTCATTATCTTCTTTTCTCATTTTCTTTCTTTCTATTATCTTAATCCATCATCAAAACAACACGTACATCTTTTAGTTCATTGATAATTTATCTTTCACCTAAAATGTTAAAAACTTAAAAAAAATCTTTGTCACACATGCTAACCCCTTTTTTTCCTTTGTAAACATGCTAACCAACTTAAAAAGAAGTCTTTGTCACACATGCTAACCCTTTTTTTCCCTATGAAATCATGATAACCATGAGTAAAAGTAAATTATCTTGTGGTGCATTGAAAGTTTTAACCTGATTTTGTTGAGATAAAAAACGCCCGAGCAACAGGACACACACGGTGTAACGTTAATACGTACTCCGCATTATTATTCGGCATTACGACCATTTCGTTCAACGTTAGTTCGACCAAGAAACCAGGTCAATACATTTTGATCAGAAACTGTCGAAGAACATGTAATCCCACACTGTTTGCACCCAAATTCCGGATCCTCCTCTCTCTCCCTCCCGCATTCATTATCCACAATCTTTTATTCTTTTTTCACTTCTTCATCGTTTCCTTATTTGCTCCTCACGCGGCTTTCCTTCTGGGAAATCACCGCGAAACTTCGCACGATCTGACGACGAAGGGAATGTCTCTTTCTTAAAGACTTTCTCTCCTTAGCATTGGAGGAGATCAATTTCCCAGAGAAGAAAGAAGAGATTTTTTTTATGTATGTGTTGCAAGAAAAGTTGACATTGCAAGGCTGAATTTGGGGTAGGAGGAGAAGATGGAGAGCTATTTGAATGAGAATTTCGGGGGGGTGAAGGCGAAGAACTCGTCGGACGAGGCGCTGCAGCGGTGGCGGAGCCTCTGCGGCGTCGTGAAGAACCCAAAGCGGCGCTTCCGCTTCACCGCCAACCTCTCCAAGCGCTATGAGGCTGCTGCCATGCGCCGCACGAATCAGGTAGCTTCATCTCCCCTCTTTTCCCCGTTTTGACCGAGTCTCATGGGAATGTTTTTTTTTGAAAAAAGGGAGAAATTTATGTTCTTTTATTATGTTTCCATTCTCTGTTTTGATCCCATTTTCCCGAACAATGTTTTCTTGTTTTGTTTGTGTGTTGTTTTAGGAGAAATTGAGGATTGCTGTTCTTGTTTCCAAGGCTGCGTTTCAGTTCATACAGGGTGATCTATCTGTTCCTTTTCTTGTTTTGGTAATTGAGATGATTTGTGGTCATTTGAGCTGCCCAAGATTTGATTTTTTTTCAATTTCTTGAAAAAAAATATCTGATTGCAGGGGTGAAACCGAGTGATTACGTTGTACCCAAGGAGGCTGAGGCAGCAGGATATCAAATTTGTGCAGAAGAATTGGGATCTGTGGTGGAAGGGCATGATCTGAAGAAACTGAAATTCCATGGTGGGGTGGAGGGTATTGCTGGAAAGCTCAGGACCTCTGTTGACAATGGCCTCACTGCAGACCAGGAAGCCCTTAACCACAGGCAAGAGCTTTTTGGGATCAACAAGTTCCAAGAAAATGAACCAAAGAGCTTTTGGGTTTTTGTATGGGAAGCCCTTCAGGACATGACTCTCATGATCCTGGGAGTGTGTGCACTTGTTTCCCTAATTGTTGGGTTAGCAACTGAGGGATGGCCCAAAGGGGCCCACGACGGGCTCGGAATTGTCGCCAGTATCTTGTTGGTCGTGTTTGTCACTGCAACCAGTGACTACCGCCAGTCTTTGCAGTTCAGGGACTTGGACAAGGAAAAGAAGAAGATATCCATTCAGGTCACTAGGGATGGATATAGACAGAAGATGTCAATATACGAACTCGTTCCCGGTGACATTGTCCATCTGGCTATTGGTGATCAAGTCCCTGCAGATGGGCTGTTCCTCTCTGGCTTCTCCGTGTCAATCGACGAGTCAAGCTTGACAGGTGAGAGCGAGCCGGTCGTGGTCAGTGCTGAAAACCCCTTCCTCTTGTCTGGGACCAAAGTCCAGGACGGATCATGCAAGATGTTGGTCACCACGGTTGGGATGAGGACACAATGGGGAAAGCTCATGGCAACCCTCAGCGAAGGGGGAGACGATGAGACTCCGTTGCAGGTCAAACTGAACGGGGTGGCCACGATCATAGGAAAGATTGGTCTTTTTTTCGCTGTGGTGACATTTTCAGTGTTGATACAGAAAATGTATGTCCGAAAGCTCCACGACGGGACCCACTGGAGCTGGGGCGGTGAAGACGCGCTGGAACTGCTCGAATACTTTGCAGTGGCTGTCACCATTGTGGTGGTTGCTGTTCCCGAGGGACTACCTTTGGCAGTCACACTAAGCCTGGCTTTCGCCATGAAACAGATGATGAATGACAAGGCGCTCGTGCGAAACTTGGCTGCGTGCGAGACAATGGGGTCCGCCACGACAATCTGCAGTGACAAAACAGGAACCCTGACCACCAACCGAATGACGGTTGTGAAGACTTGCATATGCATGAACGTTAAGGACTTAACTACTCCAAGTGCTGCAACCGAATTGCGAACTCAGCTCCCAGACAATGTGCTCAAAACACTTCTCCAGTCCATATTTAACAACACCGGAGGCGAAGTGGTGGCTTCCAAAACTGGGAAACGTGAAATGTTGGGAACGCCGACTGAGACTGCCATACTTAAGTTTGGGTTGGATCTTGGTGGGGATTTCCAGGCAGAAAGAAAGGCTTCCAAACTTGTAAAGGTGGAACCTTTTAACTCTACCAAGAAAATAATGAGTGTGGTATTAGAACTTCCTGGAGAAGGGGGTTTGCGTGCCCATACTAAGGGTGCTTCAGAGATTATTTTGGCTGCCTGTGACAAAGTGATCAATTCTGATGGTTCGGTTGTTCCACTGGATGAAGAGATGTGTAAACACTTGAATGCCACTATAAATCAGTTTGCCAATGAAGCCCTTAGAACGTTATGCCTTGCGTATCTTGATTTGGAAAATGGTTTCTCCCCTAATGATGATATCCCACTCTCTGGGTATACATGTGTTGGAATTGTAGGAATTAAGGATCCCGTTCGGCCAGGAGTCAGGGAGTCAGTTGCTCTGTGTCATTCGGCTGGTGTAACTGTTAGGATGGTTACTGGGGATAACATCAATACTGCAAAAGCTATAGCCAGGGAATGTGGAATTTTAACTGATGATGGCATTGCCATAGAAGGTCCCGTTTTTAGGGAGATGAGCCCTGAGGAAATGCACAAGATAATTCCTAAAATTCAGGTCCTTTATATTTTTAATAACTCAATAATGCTGTTTTTTAAAATAAAAATATATATTTCAGCAAATAAATTTTGGTTCTTGATTTGCCAGGTGATGGCTCGATCTTCGCCACTCGACAAGCACACATTGGTAAAGCAATTGAGAACAACATTTCAAGAAGTTGTGGCAGTAACTGGTGATGGAACCAATGATGCTCCTGCACTTCATGAAGCTGATATTGGGCTTGCAATGGGCATTGCTGGGACTGAGGTACGAATAAAAACATACAAGAAATGCGTTAATCTCTTAGTATATCCTGGTATTGTTTAGTCATGCTTAGACAAAAGTTGGTTTTGAATGGCTGAATCTCTTACTATCTTTTAACTACTGATCATCCCAGGTCGCCAAAGAGAGTGCCGATGTCATTATTCTAGACGACAATTTCTCAACAATCGTGACAGTAGCTAAATGGGGACGCTCCGTATACATAAACATTCAGAAATTTGTCCAATTCCAATTGACTGTTAATGTGGTTGCTTTGATTGTCAACTTCTCCTCAGCTTGTTTAACTGGTAATACCCATATCCTCTAGTATCTGTTTGGTAGCTTTTACCAAACACTTTTACTATAAATATCCTACCGTGAATCAATTCAACTGCATGCAGGTAGTGCTCCCTTGACTGCCGTGCAACTTCTGTGGGTGAATATGATAATGGATACATTGGGAGCACTTGCCCTTGCAACTGAACCCCCTACTGATGAGCTGATGAAGAGAGCACCGGTTGGAAGGACTGGAAATTTCATCACAAATATAATGTGGAGGAATATCTTGGGTCAATCTTTATATCAATTCATAGTCATCTGGTTTCTTCAAGCTTGTGGAAAATGCATATTCCGTCTCGATGGCCCCAATGCTGACTTGACCCTCAACACTCTCATTTTCAACTCATTTGTCTTTTGTCAGGTGCCGTTCGTGTACCTTAATGATTTTGATTATATTCGGTTCATAGTTATTAGTGATGACCAAAAACAACTGCCAAACCAAAACTGATCTAGCAACAAGTCTTTACATAAACAACAATCTTTATATTTGGTTAATACTTAATAGAGTAACCCCTCCATAGCCCTTCCCTTCGAACCCCTCCAAAACCCTCCATCTAAAGAAACTCTTGGATGCTCAAGAAGGGCATAGTGTCTAGATGGAGATAATTTACAACAACATTTATGCCGTAATGTTGTTATCACTTTGTGTTTGCAGCTCTTCAATGAGGTGAACTCTAGAGAGATGGAGAAAATAGACGTGCTTGAAGGCATACTGAACAATTATGTGTTTGTGGCGGTCATCAGCGTCACAGTCCTCTTCCAAATTATAATCATTGAATATTTAGGGACATTTGCCAACACAACACCCCTCAGCTTCTGCCAGTGGTTCCTTAGTGTATTCTTTGGTTTCTTGAGCATGCCAATTGCAGTGTACCTGAAGAAGATTCCAGTATGAAGTTTCCTGGGAGTGTCCTGTGCAGAATATCTAATCTTGGTGGGAGATGCATTTAGCAGTTACAAAGTGCTCCGAAATTTTTACCCTGAAAAAAATCAACTGTGGACGCATATTTGGCATGACTTTGAGATCCCACTTCTTTTTTTAGTAGTTCCAATATGGCTTCCAATGTAGTTTTGTTGGGAGCCAAGAATTTCTACTTTAGTTTGTAGGCTTCCATAGTACTGTAGTAGTTTTTATTTCCAATTGACTTGAGGCTTGAATATTAAGCAGTTAAGCCAAAATTGCTTCAGCCTGTCACTTCTCTTAGTTTAGGACTGGTTGGTTATTATGAAATTGATTTGCTATAAAGCCAAAACTCCAATTGTTGAATTATCATCATTGCTAGTTTGGTGATTCAGTTTGGAACATGATTCCTCACTTCAGAATGTTGAATACATTTAGCAATGCTTGAATGTGTTGAATTTGCTAAAACTCGGACCGAACCATTTTTTTTTAAATTTAGCTTACCTATGAGCACATCTGCATAGATTAAAAGATGTCAATTTCTCTCAGCCATTTTTACTAGGAAAAAAGTTGCAATACATTTATTTCAACTGATTCGAATAGAGTTAACTTAAAATCAATAAACATCATAAATACATCATAAATACTACGTAGTTGTCTAGAAACATTGTACAGTGTAAAAACATGCAAAACAATCAACTTGGCAAGGAGGTTTTGCTTTAAACTTACGTGCAATAAAAACACATCATTCTTCAAATGGGCTTCTTTGAGAATCTTGTGAATGGTACAGAACAGGTTCAATCAATGCTTTTGCACTCTGCAACTCTTGGAACTCACTCTCGCCGTAGCTTGAATTTTCAGCCAGTAACTCCAGCTGACAGTAGATTTGCTGGATAGTTACTGACATCATCTTAAGATCATTCCACTTTTGCTCATCATTTTTTACCAACTTCACACGAACAAAGTGCAGCAACCCTAACAGCACACCAAAGCCCCGACTTTCCAAGTGAACTAGCAAAATATTTAAGATAGTTGTTCCAAACGCATCCAATACATCGTTGTTGGCGCTTAACCTCTGAACCATCGCACCCACTAAACTTTTGAAGCCCAGTTTTTTACAAAATGTTTCAGTTTGTTCTTCTGAACTACTTTCTTGTAGCTCAAAGAGTTCTATCTTGGCTAAAATGGAGAGCCAGGAAGGAAAAACACTTGCACTATCTTCTGCAGTCTGATTCATTAAGTGAAAGGATCCAAAGGCCAGAATTAAATCAGGCACCCAAGGGCGAGCAGCAGACAATAGACGGGTTGCGAGGCTATGGCCCACATGTTTTTCAATGGAAACTGTGAGGCTAAGCAATTCATTAGCAAGATGGTAAGCGACCGGTTGTGGTGTTGAAGCATCAAAGAAATCCTTAAGTACCAGATTGAGTAACTTGGCTGCATATGTGAAGGAACTTTTGAGACAGAGTAATGTCTCCTTCAGGCCTTCTTCTGTTAACTGAAGCTCGTCAGTGGAATATTTTCTTAAATAGAAGTTGATAAATTGTACATATTCGAGAGTGAACTTCAGACATGCTTCTGGAAGACTATGGTGAAGTTTCATAGTGGTGCCATCAACTATGAACTTTAGTACTGCTGTTAGAATCTTCACATTACCTAAAAAGAACATCACCTGCCTCTTTTCTTTGAATAATTTGTTTGTGCAGTCTAGAAGATGGTCCATTGTCAGGTCCAATTGAGTTCTCTGTCATGTAAAAGGTACAAAGACATTTCATATAGAAGTTAATATAGACAAACTAACCAAACAGACAAGACATAAAAAATTGCTATGCAGAAGATGCACAAACACATAACAAAGACTGCATGAAAATTCAAGTTATGGTGTATAAGATTTTGGATAGGCTAAACATCCTAGTATTCTACTCCCTCCGTCCCACAAAACCTTTCTGATTTTAATTTTTAAAGGATTAAGGGGAGTGTATTTGGGTGTTGACTTTCCAAAGATACCCTTGGATGTGATGGGTAAAGTAGGATAAGATGGATAGGTTAATAGTGAAAAAGTGTGATGTGATAGGTAAGTTAAGAATAAGTAGGGGTGAAAGTGACTTTTTAATAGAAATGAGAAACGTTTTTTGGGACGGATGAAAAAAGAAAGGAGAAAGGTTTTGTGGGACGGAGGGAGTATCACTTTTGAGACCTACATGTTTTGGCCTTTTTTATGAGTTGTCGCTCTGTTGTTTTTGAGATTTGATGATGCTTTGTTGGGGTATGACCCTCTTACACTTGTACATTCTCTCTCCTGGGTTCAATACATATTTATGTTCCACCTAAAAAAGTGCATGAGCTCATGTGTTTGAATCTTAGTAAAAAAATCTATGCACACTTTCACGAGACTGACAAGAGGACCCTTTATGCATGCACTCACTCTCACATAGAATTCCATTTGTAGCCCCCTTAATTATTCCATCTGTTCTTAAATGTCATCCATTTAAAAATAACTTTTAAAATGATCATTAATTTTGTCATAGTTAGAAGTAACAAACAACCTCTCTAGTCTCTACCTTAATAAGTAGGGGGCAAGGTCCGCCTGCAGTCCTAGTCCTAAACAGCTACACCTAGCCACTTCAGACCCTACTTTGTGGAACATTGGAACCTTATTGGGTTGTTGTAAATCAAAAGAAACAAACAGACACGAAATATATATGGGAGAGCAATTTAGTCATTTTACTATTATTTGCTTTTATTGGTTTTCTAAACAGACTGTTATCCGTGAGCAAAATGCAACCCTGGCAATGATTGGTAAATTTGAAAACAAAGTATTGTATAAGTGAAGGACTTAAAACTTCCCTTTGAAAAAGACAGAAATAAAGAGGAATTATGTATGTACCTCTGTGTTTGAGGATGATTCAATGCCATTCATTTTTAGAGAATGTTTGTTTGCATTGATGCCGATATTTTGTGCAGACAAGTGCAGAATAAGAGCTGTGTAAGCTGTAAGTGGATAGACATTCATATGACCACACCGCTCAGGCTGCTGAATGCTAAATTCTGAGATAGCCTTCAAACCAAGAAGCGCGGTTTCTAATATTCTGGATCCTAACAGGGCTTTTCTCGTGCCTTCATCCAACAGTAAATCATTTACTTGCCAGGCTATTCCCTCAGCAATCTCATATGCCTCAGTGAAGCTAAATTTGTCCTTGTTTAATGCCTTTTTCAAGTTTGGATGCTTGCATTTTAATGTAGTTCTGGTGGAGGATTTAGTTTTCCTCTGTCTTGTGGAAGAAGCCTCTAGTCCAGGCGAGTCGTTGATATAGTGGGCAATTTCTTGCAGAATTGTTGATAGAGACCCCAACATCTCATCAAACCAACCACAAGACAACATCATCCTATGTGCATATCTTACCTCAGCTTTCCTTTCCACATTACCAGACAATCCAATGCAATTTGTTATCAAGGCCAAGCATTCCTCGTAAAGGCCATCAACAGCTTCTGGAGGAATTGTTGAAATAATACTGCAAATAGAAGATTTAGCATGGGTTGTAGTTGCTGCAGCAAACATGATCTTTAGTGTTCTTCCTGATAACTCTTTCTTAAGAATATTCTTGAAAGATGCTTCTTTAACGAGATGGTTATAAAGATGCGAGATGCCAACAACTATACCATTAATCTGATCTTTTTCCAGGTTTTTAGGTGAAACAACCAAACGTATCAAACCTTTCAATAATTCCATTAAAGAAGGGAGGGTGGCTCCTGCCGACACAACAAATTCACAGAACCTTGATCCCGCAGATGGAGACCTCTTTATAAGTGTGACACAACGCTTACATGCTTCTTCGGGTGTTACATTTGGTGGAAAATATGAAGGAAGAAGAAGTTTAGTGATTTTCTGTGCAACGAGTGATTGATCGCTTGCCAATGCGGAGAGCAGTGCATCTGTACAGACTACCTGCACAAGAGTGTGGAAAGTGCAAGTTGGTGTAATGATGGAAATATCAATTACTGCCACCATTCCTATTTATATGACCAAATCACATTGTTTAAGAAAATGCTTGGGACATTTGGATGTCAAAACCTTGTTAGACTTTATAATATGTACATAAAACAGGCCCATATGATACAAAATACTCCCTATGTCCCATAATTATCTTCACTTTCACTTTACGCAAAAAGAAGTAAAATTTTAAGTTTTTTCAATTCAATTTATTTAAAGATTGGTATATAAATAAAAAATAAAACTTAAGTATTTAAAAACTACATCAAAAGTTCTACAAAACAAGTAGTGACAAGAATATTTTATTTTATCAAATAATCAATGAAAACACACAAATAAACAAAATTAACCTTGAATTTGGAATAGTGAAGAAGGAAGATAATTTCACAAAGTATCTTTTTGATGATCATTTTTCATAAAAAGGATAAGGAAAGTAGTTTTTTTTTGTGGGAGGGGGGGGGGGGGGG